TTATCTTTGTCTCATTTTGTGAACATAATTCTCCTCATTCTTAACCTATACCTAAGAATTTTAGGAGGATTCATCATCCAATGGAATCAAGTTTTTTTTTTTTAAAAAAAAAAAAACTCAATTTGCCAAGTTTTCCTACCATACCTAAACCTTAACTTACAAAAGTAAATTATTTTGTAATTTCACAAGTCTAATGTAACGTAACTGACAGTATTATTTTTCTTTCAATATATCTATGAACGAACACACAAACACAAATTTTTGTGATATTATTTCTCTTACTGACCATACCAGAGATAAATATTTATATTTAATTAAAAAATAAAAAAACATAATGATTAATTTCTATAGTATTGGTTGATTTATGATAAACAAGACTTAAAAGTGCTCAAATCCACCTGTAGCCCACAACCCATCATCGAAATGCCATGATAACATTGGTGAAGCATTTTTGAAAATTTAATTATATGCAATGAACCAACTTGGGCCTCATGGCCCAACTCATTTCTTTGAAAATGAAAGCATTTGATTTTGTTTATAAATTCCTCTATTCCTTGTGTAGCTCCTTTGAGAAATATAATTAGGTCCTTCCCCACTTCTCTTTAAAGCTGTGAGCGACTCCCCCATATCGAATTATGAAAGATACATTAAATTGCGACAAAGGGAACAAATATGAAAATAAAAGTTTGGTAAATAATTTATAATTAATTCTATTAAAGCCAATTAAGTTCTGCAATATTGAAGGCTCAAACCTTCCAAGAATCAAACTTTATAAGATATTAATTATATGATACGATTGTTTTAGATTAAAGTTAGTTTGATTGGCATAGAATTTTTATGCGTTTTGCAACAAAGGGAACAATTTTCTTATAGCCACATTGTCTATGCCATAACTGTTTATATAAAATTTATTATGGAATATATGGATCTTGCTTTCTTATTATATATCACTTAACGTTATTCATCACTTGAAGTTTTTTATTAATTTATGATTCACAAATCGTTGATTTGTATCTCGATATTTTTAATAAACGTTTAACATAATATTCAAAATCTGTTACGATCCGTTACTCGAGTTAGAATACTTTACAAAATAGAGAATAATAAAACAATATGTTAGATACATGGTACGGAAGGACCTTAACCCAAACATAAATATATTAGTTTTTTTAAGATTCACTTTCTGTTTCAGTTTATATATTAGCTAGGGTTTACTTTCTAAATAAATTTTGTTACTTATGTTATTTTTATACACAAAGATATTATTAGTTTATAATTATTAAATTTTGTTATGGGTTTGCTTCATAAATTTGTATGCTTGTGCTCGCTATTATTTTTTTCTTTGTGTGTTATTATTATACTAATACGATGGATTTTATGTAATATCGTTTCATTATTTCTGTCATCGTGTGAGCACGCAACATGATCTGATGATTTTCCGACATAATTTTTGCTTCATAATATAGTAAATTTCTTGTAGAGTTATATTTTACGTTAATTGATAATTTAAAATGTTATGATCTAATACACAAATTACCATCCACTAAAGCTTATGGACAGTAGCGTCATAACTCCATTTTAAAAATTAATTAATTAATTAATTAACATTTATTCCATAAACTTAATTTAAAATACAATGTACATGTCTCTTAGTGTAGGAATGATGGACCATACATTATTAATCTTAAATATATAAGCACTAGATTAATGGGGAACACATGAAACTAAATTAAAGGCATAGCCATTAGCCTGGTGCTCTCACTATAACACTAAGCATTTAACACTAATAATAACAATAATTATTCTAATGAAACTTTATGTATAATGAATTAATTCAATAATTTAACGGTGTAATCTTGTTTGTTAATTTAAGATCTCGACAATGAGGATAAAGTTTGTCTGTTGCTTTCATGCACTATAATTGTATCTACCACTAGTAATTTATTATATTTTTCTTTTAATGTGCTCTGGACTGTTTGATTAGCATAAGTTCATTCCTAAACCTAACTACACTCTTCACCACCTTTTCCTAAATATCAACTTACTTTATTAAACAATTTGATGCTATTCTACTCCTTTTTTTTTTTTTTTTTTTTTTTTCCTTTTTTCCTTTTTCTTTTAATATATTTATTTAATTATATATTCATTCTCTATACAAAATCTTTTTTTTATATATATATTCAATTATTAGTCGATGATTTTTCAATATATAAGAATCAAATTAACTATTGATACAGACATTTAAGTTTTAAAACGTTTGTATTATAGAATTTTGTCAATTATTATCGACAAAATATAATAAACAAGAATAATATAATTTTTTAGAAAATAATTAAACTATAAAAAGTGAAGGCATGCAAAGTTTGGAGCCCCCCACTTATATAAATTAAGCTATAGTAAGAAGCTTCCTTCAATGTTTCTCATTAGTACATTTTATAATTAAAATCTAATCATTTTTTGTTGGACAAAGGGAAGAAAGGGAGAAAGAGAATGTTTCTTATAGTTTAATTTAAAATTTCTTGTTTGGAGGAAAGGAAAATATTTAAAGGGAAGAAAGGAAAAAGAGAAAAAGAGAGAATGTATGGCATCACATAACTATTATTATTACTATTTTTAATTCCAATCATTTAGTTGATTTAAAGTACACAGAAAAAGGAAAAGGCTTTCACATTATGGGTGCAAGAAATAGATAATGTCATAATATTTTTATTTGATGAATATATTAATTGAATTATCTTAAATAAATACGTAATTATGATTTTTTTTTTATTACACCAAATGAGTCAGCTCGTGAATAATTGGAATAATGACTAAAACTTTGAATAAATATAATGCCTTTTTTATATACTATAATATATTTTAATAGAGTAATATTACATTCATAACTTTTTTTTTAAACTTCTTCTTATAAATTTATGTGATAAAAGATGATTAGATGATTTTAAATTTAAAATAAATTTTTATCTAATTATCTTTTATTACGTGAATTTATAAGAGAAAATTTATATAAAAATATTATAAGTGTATTATAATTAATTTTCGTATTATAAAATCACCTCGTTAATTAAAAACTTGTTTTATTCTTTTAACAAACTGAACTACTATGAATTTTTTGTTTTTTAAAAAAGCACTCTGCATTGGCAAAGGTGATTTTGACCGTAAAAATATGGAGAAAATAAATGTAAGGTAAGCAGTTACAGAGCCCAAAAAGGTGAGTAAATAATTAATTCAAATTAAAATAAAATTTATTCATAGGGACGCTGTTTCCTCTAAATTAGGCAGGCAGACACAATTTTACAGTTACGAGACTCTTAGTTACAGTGTGCCAGCTCACTATCTTGAAAATGCTAATTAATAATAAATCATAAAGTAAAAAAAAATTACTGACATCTTCTCAGCCAATAGAAAACCCCTTGAGTCAAACTCAACAGGTACTCAACCGGTCAACCCATGTCCCATAATTTACTTCGAAAATTTAAACACAAGGTTAAGATTCAAAAAATAAAAATAAAAAAATCAGTAAGTTGTGTAATTACTTAAGCCATAAAAAACATCGTTAAAAAATTTTAGTATTATAACCGTCAAAATTTGGTATCATAGTCGTCGGAAATCTTAATACTACCATCATGATGACGTCTTCATACCATTAATAATAGGAGATCTCAATAGAATCATGGTTGGGCTTCTTAATCTGAGTTTTAACCCGGCTTAGCCTAGTCGATTCAATCGGGATTTAGGGCCTTCACCGAGTTGGGTTATCAATTTTATTATTCATCAATAAATCTAGAAATAAAAACGACGAACAATTGAATGCTACCATGTTAGAGGTTTTAAAGAGGAAAGGTTAGTGAGTAGAAAAGTAACAATGAAGGTGATTTCTAGTAAGTGAAACGACTGAAAATCGCAAAAATAAATCGACGGTAACAACTGGCTGTTGTCGACGATTGGCAAGGCGAACAGAGATGAGTTTTGGTCAGGAGGTTGAGGGTAGAGTTTTCGTGGTGATGGGGTCAACACCGAAAATAGACCCTATTTGGCCTGGGTTGTTGATGCCGACAATGTAATTTGGGGTGTTTTGCAAGATTTTAAACTTGTAGGGACTTATGTGTAATTTTAGGATTGTTTTGCTGCATTTCAAACCCTTTACCTGTTGACGTCACTAGTTTAACCCATCGGTCAAATCGGTTCAACCGGTCAACCTGAGACTCGACCACTTTATAGGGTTTCACCCTAGATTGAGTTTTAAAACCTTGATCTCAATACAATAATGTTTATCATATCAACCCCAAGGGGTTGACTTGGCTATCAAGAAAGTTTGCTCCCTTCATTGATTTCTTGAGTTTAAACCACCTTAGGGTTTTAAGGATTAGTTGAGGTATACATAAGTTGACTCGAACACTCCGATCATCTGAAAAAATGTCTGTCATGTCAAAACAATATTGACCTTTCTTTTATAATCCAAAAAGTATTCAGATCTTAACGGTATAAAAGCGTCATGTAATAATCTCTTTACATGAAACTAATCATAATTTTATATGATGAATTGGATTTATGTTTTCTCTTAACAAAATAGTTATACCTTTATATCCTCATATGTGATCTTCTTTTCCTCATTAAAAAAAAAATAAAGATTTGATTCCTTAAAGAAAATCTTATATTAAGACATCGACATAATATTCTTTTCCGTCAGATATACATGTAGTTATTATACATACAAAGACCTTGATGTAACATTCTCATATCAATCAGAGTTATATGCACATGTATGCATCAAGTTTTCTGCATTTTACTTCTGATCCATGAAATTTAGCTAAATTTCATATACAAAAGATTCATATTAGATAATCTAAGCTTGATTTAACCCCAACCAAATTGGTAAAGTTAAAAACATTAAGCTGAAAAAGGAAAAAAAAAAAAAAAAAAAAGTAAGGAGGCCCGACCTTATAAATTTCCCTCTCTCAGTCTCTCTCCACCTTCCTTCTTTGTAACCAAAAAAAAAAAAAAAACAAAAAAGGGAAAAACTTTCTTTTGCCTCTGCAACTTCAATAATGAAAGCTCATTAGAAACCGCTTAACTGTTACCTTCTCTCTCTTTCTGCTTCGCCGCCACTTCCCATTACTATCTCTACTAACTCTTATGCTTTTTCACTTCTCTTTTTCCAACTCTTCAAATTAGTGATCTTTTTTCTTTACTACTTTCTCTTATACATGTACATACACATATATATTTTGTTGGCCTCCTCTGTTACTTCTATTTAATGCTTTTTTTCTCAACTTCAGGACTTTTCTTTTCCAACCCTTTCAGCTTCTCTTTCAGCCTGAGAGAGCTCAACTCTTGGTGGGTTGATCTTGGTTTTCTGTTTCATCTTTGAAATCACTTTCAGTTTCTGCACTGTTTAATTCAACATCAAGTTGTTTTTCTTTAGAAAATTTAAACCATTGTTTGAAGTAAACTGATGCCTGATATCAAGGACATGGATTTCTCTTCCCACAAACTTCCATCTCTTTCGCAGGTAATCCATAACTTCATAAAAGAAAACATTTTTCTTCTTCCTTCATGATTTTCTTTTCTGTTTTTGGCTCAAAGTGATTATTTTTTTATTTTTTTTCAGGTTGGGGAAGAGCTAAAGGAGCTATGGGGGATGGCTTTGCCCATAACCGCAATGAACTGGCTGGTGTTCATCAGAGCCGTTGTTTCAGTCCTTTTCTTAGGAAGACTTGGAAGTTTAGAGCTTGCCGGAGGAGCTCTCTCCATTGGCTTCACCAACATCACCGGCTATTCTGTTCTTGTGGGCTTAGCCTCAGGCCTTGAGCCAGTGTGCAGCCAGGCCTATGGTAACAAAAACTGGGACCTCCTCTCCCTCTCTCTCCAACGCATGATCGTCATACTTTTCCTTGCCATCATCCCCATCAGCCTCCTGTGGATAAACCTCGAAAGCATAATGGTTTTCATGGGCCAGGATGAGAACATCACAGCAATGGCAGCAACTTACACTATATATTCCTTACCCGATCTTTTGACAAACACTTTGTTGCAGCCGTTGAGGGTGTTTCTTAGGTCTCAGCAGGTGACTAAGCCGATGATGTGGTGCTCATTTGTGGCTGTGATGTTTCATGTGCCATTGAATTATTTGTTGGTGATAAAAATGGGGATGGGGATGCCAGGAGTGGCAATGGCATCGGTGGTGTGTAACTTGAACATGGTGGTGCTGATTGTGGGGTACGTGTGGGTGAGTGGACGGTGGGAGATGAGATGGACGGGTGGGATTGGGGTTCTGTGTGGTGGGATTGGCCCCCTTTTGAGATTGGCAGTGCCCAGCTGCCTTGGGATTTGCTTGGAGTGGTGGTGGTATGAGATTGTGATTGTAATGGCTGGGTACTTGGAGAATCCTACACTGGCTGTGGCCGCCACTGGGATTTTGATTCAGACCACTAGCATGATGTACACTGTCCCTATGGCCCTTGCTGGCTGTGTCTCTGCCCGGGTATGTACATCTTTCACTTTCTCCATCGATAATAATGTAATGCCACGAGTTCATTAACATTAGTATCATCAGGTAATGAAGTTTAAGTTTCGTTAACATGATCAATCTATTGGGGTGATGACACATGATATTATATCAATGGACAGACTCGGTGGGACTGTTCAATATAAGTATTTCTCTTATTCGTCACTCTCCGTACCTATTGCTTGCTATTAATATTAATAGTGGTGTGGGGAAGAATCTCATCCATTAAGAGGTCTTATTACAGTACCTATACTTATGTTTGATAAAATAATTTCTATTTGATAAGATCTTCATGAAAGGAAACGATACAAGGGTTAATGTGTCCAAAATCTGATTGATCTCATAGAGGCTGGATTTTGATTTTTGTTAAAAACCTCTCATGGGAATAAGTATATTTTTCCAAATCTCTCTCAATAATGACATGAGTGAAATTTTGTGGAAATCTTTAGTTTAGGGAAGTAACGAGTTCTCTTTATTTCTTTGACATAAAGGTGGAGCTTCTTTGGTGAGTTTCAAATCAAAGAAAGATAAAAGTAAATGGTCATATTTGATCTCATGACTCATCCCCTTCCTTAAAGTAGAACACTTATATCATCTATTACACATGATTGCATCACTTGTAGGGGACCGAAATTGGTCACACATAAAATGTGATTGGACAAAAATTAGTACACGTTTACTTTTGTCTTCAAACAAACAAAAGTGAACCAATGTCACACTTATTTTCCTGTGAAAATTCTGCAGGTGGGCAATGAGCTTGGAGCTGGAAAGCCTTACAAAGCCAAACTTGCAGCAATGGTGGCATTGGGGTGTGCATTCTTCATAGGAATTATAAATGTAACATGGACAGTGATTTTGAGAGACAGATGGGCTGGTTTGTTCACAAAGGATGATCTTGTCAAAGCTTTGGTTGCATCAGTTTTACCAATTATTGGACTGTGTGAGCTGGGCAACTGCCCACAAACAACTGGCTGTGGCATCCTACGTGGCACGGCAAGGCCGGTTATCGGGGCCCGTGTGAACCTGGGCTCGTTTTACTTTGTGGGTACTCCTGTGGCAGTGGGCCTGGCCTTCGGGCTCAACATCGGGTTTAGCGGGCTCTGGTTCGGGCTCTTGTCAGCCCAAGTGGCCTGTGCTGTCTCTATTCTCTATTATGTTTTGGTCAGGACAGATTGGGAAGCTGAGGCCATGAAGGCTAAGAAGCTAACAAGCCTGGAGCTTAGTTCTTGCAATGGAGGTACACAAAAGAGTGATGAAGAGACTGAAAGGATCTTGGATAATGTTTTGTAGATGGATCGATACTTCTAAATACGAATCATGTAGTGTTGTCGACTCAATAGTAACCATGGGAATCCTTCTTAATCTAACGGTTGGTATGGGTCCATAACATAAGGCTTTGTTGAGAATAGAAATGTCGAGCAAAGGTGATTGTGGAAGATGTGAAATGTGGTTTTGTTGTTTAGCTGCTTTTTTCGGGGCATATGAGTCATACTAGAATTTTGTGTTGCCTTTTTTATATATAAAAAGTAAAATATTCTTATTTTCATGGATGTTCTTGGGGTTGGCACGGCCCTATTTTGTCACAAGAGATTTTCAATCTCCATATAAGAAGTTAAATATTACAATAAAACTTTCCCATAATTTGAACCAAACACTAGTTTGAGTGGCGAAAGTTGATGTTGGAATTTGGTTATTTATAAAGTTAAAAAGAAAATGTTGTCAGTTTTTACAACACAAATATCTTACATCTCCTGTAGACAAATTGTTTCATTAAAATTTATTTGAAACAACATGCTTCATAAAACAATGCAATGTTTCCAAGGCACATGTTGTTTCATGAAACAATGCAATGTTTCCAAACTCTATATAAGGCAAGCATAATTTTTCTTTTTAAACAAAAAATTACAACCAATCTTATCTTCCTTCATTTTCTTCTCTATCTGAACTTGCCAGAAACTCAAAAAACATTATATTATTCATTAGGTCAATTTTTTTTGGATAAACCCGATAAATATATTGAGAAAAATAAAATTACAAGGAAAGGGAAAAACCCTTAAACATGCAAACCCTTGGACAGACCTAAGGGGCAAAAGCAAAACACTATTCGACTAAACAAAAGCTGAACGCAAAGCCCAAACAGACCCAGGCCTGTACAAAAGAAGATGTTATATACACGCAAAAGAGTCATGGCAGACACCCAAAAAAAGGAGGGCATAGCCCTACTATTCAAATATGAACAAAAAAGGCTAAAAACAAAAACATCAGTAATCCTAATCAACATACTAACAGGATCCCTACCATAAACACCCAAAAACATCAACCCAACCTTCCACACCTCATCCCATCTCCTCAGCCTAGTTATGAGAATCATCCACATAACCTTTGTGTTATGATCTACGTAATTAATTAGAAAAGTCGGGAATTTTCAGTAGGCAATTCGAGGTGCCTGGCCTCCAAGATTGTAAACACAATTCTTCTGAAATAACTCCCCCCCCATATCTGGGTAACTGCCATATAAATAGAATTTTACATGGACTTAGTCAAATAACAAACTGCATATAGGACCTTACTAACCCACTAAACACGTACTCAAACAAAGACTAAATAATAGGTAACTGAATCGGAAAACGTGGCCCATAAAATACAAGCTGGAACCACCAAATAATCATGGCCAGCAAGACTCTCTGGACTTAACATCTGGACACCCTAACAGAAAGTAATAAGCTTAGGAAGCGATTTTCATGAATAAATTCATAAATTCTTTAATTGTCTCAATATACTTCAATTTAATCACAAATGGGGTATTTTTATCACCAAAATAGAGTCACTTTCATGACTCTAACAGCGACCAAGAGTCAACTTAATCAATCGCTTAAGCGATATAAAGGATCGCTTAGCCGATCTTAGATCTGGGCAGATGGAGTAAAAGAGGTTAATCGCTTAAGCGATACAAATGATCGCTTAACCGATAGTTAAGAACGTACCCTTTCTTCGACGGCCTGCTCATTCTCGCCAGCCTCATCCTCCTCGCTTGAATCCTCGGAAGACTCCTCCTGCCCTGAATTGTCGCCGGAATCCTCATCGTGGACTGAATGATCGCCCGACTCCTCTTCTTCAGAACTGTTTGACGATTCTTCCCTCTATTCTTGTGCCGCCGGCATCTCCTCTCCCTGTCGACCACGTTCATTGATCGGATGATCCACCAGAGCGGCCATTGAACTGCTTGTGCCACCGGAATCTAGGATTCGAAGTGGCGTTGGGTTGTTGTCGTCATTGTGAGTGTCAGCCATGGTTTTGGATTGAATTTGGTGTGAAAATTTGTAGTTTGGATCGGAAATATGGGATGTATGGCCAGAAATCGCGCAGATTCCGTTTAGGGTTGAAGAAATCGATTTTAGGGTTCAAGAAATCGACAGAAAATCGTGACTTATCACGGGACATCGTGACTATATTCCGTTTAGGGTTGAAGAAATTGAGTTTACGATTGAATATGGTGGGGAAATTTGCAGGGTTGGATCGGAAATCGCCTGTCTCCCTTTGGTTCAAGAAATTGATTTTTGCCCTAATGAATTTCGATTAAGCGAGGTGAATAGTTAGTGGGGCTTGTTTTGAGAATTTTCAAATTAAAAAAAAAAAACATTTTTGTCTATTCGAACCAAATATGTTTTAATCCTTTCATTTTAACCCACTTTACGTGTTTATTTAGTCACGCTTGGTCAGTTGAGCGATCTTTTCCAAGGAAGAACAAAATCTCCCCAGATAGATGATCGCTTAAGCGATTCGTCGCTTTTACTCTTGGTCGCTTAAGCTATTAAGGATCTCTTAAGCGATCTCTTCCTAGGTAGAATAAAATCTGTCCAGATCTAGGATCGCTTAAGCGATTCCTCGCTTTGACTCTTGGTCGCTTAAGCGATTTAGGATCTCTTCATCAGAATAAAATATGCCCAGATCTATGATTCCTCTCTTTTACTCTTGGTTGCTTAAGCGATTTAGGATCTCTTAAGCGATCTCTTCCGAGGCAGAATGCATCTGCCCAGATCATGATCGCTTAAGCGATCCTCTTGTATCGCTTAAGAGATTCCTCACTTTTACTCTTGGTCGCTTAAGCGATTTAGGATCTCTTAAGCAATCTCTTCCGAGGTAGAATGCATCTGCCCAGATCTATGATCGCTTAAGCGATCCTCTTGTATCGCTTAAGCGATTCCTCACTTTTACTCTTGGTCGCTTAAGCGATTTACGGATCGCTTAAGCAATCTCTTCCAAGGCAGAATAAAATTGTCCAGATAGATGATCGCTTAAGCGATCCTTTAGTATCGCTTAAGCGATTCTCGCTTTCACTCATGGTCACTTAAGCGATCTCTTTCGAGGCAGAAAAATCTGCCCAGATCTATGATCGCTTAAGCGATCCTCTGGTATCTCTTAACGATTTCTTCGCTTTCCCTCTTGGCGCTTAAGCGATTCAGATTGTTTGCGATCATTTGAGAAAAATCTTGGTCCTTAAGAGATATATGTGGTCGCTCATAATCGCTTAAGCGATCATGACAAAAAAAGAATCCTACATTTCTCCTGAATTATGTAAATATCTGTCTTTATAGAGCTAATTTCGAAATAACCATTTTCCTCCCAAATTCGAAAGATAAGCAGCAAAATGAAGTCATTTATATCAATCTAATCTATCACGATCAAAATATAAGAGACATCATGTAATTGAAATTTAAACTTAAAATCATTCATATAGTGCCAATACAGAATTACCTAAGCCACTTTGACAAGTTTTGGAATTCGGTATAATCACTGTCTAGATCATTCTTTGTACCATGCCTTGCACAGCCTTGATTGCAGGTGCCGCCACTTTGAGAAGTTTTCAAATTCGGTATAATCACTGTTTGAGATCATTTCATGGTACCATGGCTTGCTAGCAGCCTTGATTGCAGATGACTCCTCTTAGCCACCAGCCTTGATTGCAGATGCCTTGCCGGCAACCTACTCTCTGACAGCCTAAGCCATTTTGAGGAGTTCCTCTTATTGTTTCCAGCAACCTGCAAATTATCCGCACACTGTACCTGTCAGCTTTTCTAAAAACACAAAAAACAAAAAGTTTTTCAGGGCCATTTGTTAAATAAAGTTAGGATGTTCGGGGAGTAATTTTTCTCTCTTCACGAACCTAAGTATGGAGTGCAAGATTGAAAAGTTCACTGAGTCCGTCTATTTCGGTAAAGCTCTGTATAGCATGACACCTGCAGCATCAGCACCACAACCCAAGTACACATCAACATCACATAACTACAAATTAAAAGTACAAGTTCCAAACCTTTTGATTGGTTTTGGTCACTCAAAACGATCCATTTCCCCATGGAAGCACTCAACAGCCCAGCGCTCCCGAAAGATGGTTATTGTTTCGTCATTCCATCCAGCCATTCGGCTGTTGTCATGTGTCACACTGCATAAATTTCAGGGCATATGCCCCACAATCAGCACTGCAATAGGAAGATGACATTAGCATTAGAATCAGCTTATAGAACAATTGTATTATGTAAGTTAGTTTTATACAAAATTTACCTTGACTCATTTGTTGGGACGGGAACACGCTTGAGTGGCCACTTTCCCGTCAATGCTTCATCATCGAGGTGCTCAAACATCCCGCTCTGGCGTAACAGCCACGGGAACAACACGGACAGTGGCTCCAACTCGGCCTCCAACTGCCTGTCTCGACAAATTGTTGGGTTGCAGTCAAGGATCTTCAACAACCTCTCCTCTAAGAGCGTGACTACTGCTATCCAGTGCATTTCCTTGACCAGGATGATGTAGTAGACACTTTTAACCTTTGCCCAACTATGGCCATATTTGGGCCTGTCCCCCATTACATACTGGATCATCCTGTCATCAAACTTAAAATCATTAGGGACGCAGTCCAAGTCTTCTGTGCCCGATCGTTTTTGCTTGGCTCCTTTTGCTACAGATGTACCAATGGCCTTTTTCAATAAATTGCGATATGTCAATACCAGTGTTTGGCCAAAGGCCACATCGGTGAATGCACAATCGGGATACAGTAGATCACCATTGCTGGTTTGTCGTAGCCTCATCAGTGCCAATACCTCATCGATGTGCTGCATCAAATAAAAACAACATAATAAGTATACAATACCTCATGGAAAACATAAGCAAAAATAAGGAAAATTAAGCGAAAATAACTCACCGAGTCGTGAAGCCAGCTAGCCCATCGTCAAAATCTTTTCAAACCAATCCCGAGAATAATCTTGGTCTTACACTTTACAAGGGCATCACTTCCTGATTCATTGTAATAGGCATAAAAGGGTTTTTTCTTTTCCTCCTCTATTGGCCTATACAAATCGACAGTGGACTCCATTTTTGCTTGCCCGCTTCCTCCCTCTTCCTCCATTTGTACATCCCCGCTTCCTTCGCCTCCCGCCTCAACCTCCTCTATTATAACTGCCCCACTTCCTCCATAAACCTCTTTAACCCCTTCAATTTTGGCTTCTTCCTCAATTTTTTTCTTTGTTTTCATCTTAATTCCACGTGTTAGTATGGTGTAAGGCGATTTTACAAACCTACTCTTTCGGCTCTTTCTTTTCAACCCAGGGTGCACTTCAACCGCCTTCAATACTCCACCAACTTCATCCTTGTTAGAGTCATGAAAGTGACTCTATTTTGGTGATAAAAATACCCCATGTGTGATAAAATTGAAGTATATTGAGATAATTAAAGAATTTATGAATTTATTCACGAAAATCGCTTCCTAATATTTTTCTTATGAATTTAACGTGTTTGGAATGATTTTGGAAAGTATATGAGTTGATATTAGGTTGTGGTTTATGGATTAAGGGTGATTTTGTCTCATTTATGCTGTTTAGGGGATAAAATGTCATGTTTTAAGGGGTTGATTTTGTCACTTTTCAATTGTGTAGGGACCAAACTGATATTTTATAATTTGTTCTATAAAAGAAAAATGCAGTTTCGCGTGAACAGGGGGGGCTGTTCATCCATAACGTTTTTCGGCGACCCTTCGTCTTCCATTTCCGGCGACCTCCGGCGACTCTTCGGCTTCCTTGTGCACAGATCGTCGTCATCCCATCGTCCCGGACCACCACCGCGAATCATCACACAGCCGCGACGATTCGTCTTCCACCACCGTGACGTTTTTGTCTTCCCAGCCAGTTTTGGCCATTTTTCGACGACGTTCCAGCTCCCCAAGGGTCGATCTCCCTTCCCCACAACCGGATCTACACTTCCCTAGCTTCAGCGCCGCGAAAACCGCCAGAATCCGTGATTTTGCCACCGCGCCTCTTCATCTTCCAGGCCAGATCCTGCTCATTTCCGGCGACTTCTCACCTCCCCAGGACCTGATCTGAACTCCCTATCACCAGAGCTTTCCATCGGTACCTTCAGATCCCATTTCCGCCACCGTTTTCTGGAAGACCCGCCGAAAAATTAACGTTTTTCAACGAAGTGTGGCTGTTCGTATTCCGGGCTGTCCGTTGGTTGTTTTCGCCCCTTCTTCGCATCATATCGCTGTCGGTTACCTCCTCTCCGCCATGGTCAGCTCCGTTTCCACCGTTTCGGCCTCCGTCATCACCACCATGAGCGGCTAAGCTCCCGGTTGTCTGTTACGGCATAGGCGAGATCGGGATTGACTCCACGACTCTCCTCATCAGCTCTCGACTAGTTGGATGAGCCCGATTATAGGACATTTGGTAGTATTGTGCTTCGGATTATATTTGTTTTCGTTTCATGATTGATTTCGATACTTTAATATGATTTGAGCATAACTTGTGATGAATATTGTTGTCCATTATGATTTAATGTTTTCATAGAACTTGCTGAATGATAAACGTTGGTTTGGAATAATTAAATGATGAATATTGCTTTTCATTACTTTGCATCGATTGTAATTGAGTTGTGTTCGGATTTAATTTAATTTCTACTATTGTTGCGTTTATTGTGAAGTTGGTTGATTGGATATTACGTGTTGACAAATTGTATTTGTTAATTGCGTACCAACTAGTGGTATTGCCTTGTAGCGTTTATCGACGTTCAATGATAGTCTTTAACCAATCGAACTTGAGTGATCGGGTGAGACATGATAGATTATACCTAGACTGTCGGGAAGCCATTTCATTGATTTACCTTGCCTTGTAAGTTTAGGGGATCGTAGAGGGTGGAGGAGAATTGTGTGAGTCGGTCTCGTTTCGAACCAAAACCATAACAGCAATATTTTTATTATAAATTCTTTATTTGCTTTAATTTCACTATTTCATTATTTGCATTTAGTCTATTTAGTTTCATTAATCCATTGCCAATTTCATTTCCGCTACTTAAAATACATTAGGTTGTTAGTCTTGCTCCCTGTGGATTCAATCCTGCTTACCGCTAATACGGTAATTAGGTCTAATTTTTAGACCGTGACGATCGGTCTAACACTCCTGCACCCTACCAACTTCCTTCTCCACCCTAACAACTTTCTCTGCCACCTTATCCACTTTCTCCTCCACCCTTTTCAACTGCTCTTCCATCTTATCAAACCTGCCATAAACAGCTGTTGTAAAACTATCAAACAAACTGTTTATGAGGTCAATCACCTCACTCTCCCGACCCCGACGCCTCGGCAAAGCGGTACTTGTTGTACTAGTTTGCTGAGGCATACAAACATCTTCCTCCCTCCCTCCCCTCCTCCTCCCTCCCACCGATTACGGCTTCATCCTCCTCGGTGTCAACCACATTTTCAAGCAGTGGCCTTACAACTGCCCTTACATGTGTGAGTCCTTATAGCTCCCGCGTCAGGCGGTCTATCCCTTTATCCCTTTCATCCTCCAGTGCTCGGAAAGATGTGACATAATGCTGTTGTGCTTCACCCCGAGTAGCGGTGAGGAAGGGACGGACAACCCCCTGCAATAAGAAACAAAATCAATCAGATTTAAGCGACATTTTAAAGTAAGTGCATATTCAAAAGCTTAAACCTTTAATCTTACCCGAGCTGATTGAATTTCAATCTCTATTTGCTCATAATCCGAATGGGTACACTTCTGGTCGTGCCACCGCAACATCCTAGGAAATGTCTGTTGCACAACCAAAGCCCTAATCCTCCCCACTGCCTTAGCCAGGACAGGGATGACCTCATACATCTAATCCTACATTGTAAAAAAACAGTCAATATCATAATTCAAACACATATATTAAAAAAAATATAACAAAAAACTATTAATATTTACTTGTATTGCCCATGGGAAGCCAAACAAATTGTACGTCGCCGCTCTATTCTTCTCGGCCCATTGGAGTGCTTTAACGCCAGGTCTTTTGTTTGCAGGGAGTCCATGGTTCGCTTAAATGATACCCATCCCCACGGATAAGCATTAAAGAAGTTTAAGTTGCTTACAAACTTCACCCAATCAATATCAACAGCTTTTGTTGAGTCACTAGCCATTAGGATCGAATGTAAGAACAATACAAAGCACAATTTGAACATCTCTAAATCGTTAAACTCACCATCTTTTAACCTGTCCTCTAATTCCTGCGCCTTAATAGACTTGTTCCCCGCCAAAACCTTGTTAGCCAACCTTTTGGCTCTCGTACTGTCCGTTATTCTTTTTTCCTTAACCTCACCTGGCAATTCCCTACATCTTAAGCCAGTCACCAACGCATATTCCATCATCCCGAAACGTAATGGCTTTCCATCCACCACGAACCACATTTCAGCTTTTTGTTGCTTTTTATTGAGTGCAGCAACATATAATGCACTCCCGACCCCAGAATGTCTTTTTCCATTTTGTATCCATATCCTAAAAATGACTGAAACAAGTCTCTTTGAATCTCCTTTCACCATTCCTCACTGTCCCTAAAATCCCTGTTATTCTCGTTAAAACATCCCAACTTGACCTCACTGTCACCCTCATAGGGAAGTACGATACCGTATCGCTTACAACCTTCAATCCTTACCCTCTATAGTTTACGCTCCGGAAAATCTGCANATAAAAACAGAAAAGAAAATGCATTGCATAAAAAAAGTTTATGCATTTGTGCATATGCATCATGCCATTTCTACTACCTCGAGTTAGTTTCCCTATTTTTACTGCTCATTGTATTTGTACTTACAAGTCTTAGGAAGGTCCATTCAGGATCTCCGAAAAGCTCAAACAAGAACCTTCCACTTGGAACACCTTGATTGCGAAGCCATACTACGAGCATGGAACGTCGAGCATCTATGAAGGTATTACCAATGAGCAGCTCGGGTTCCAATCATGTTTTATTTTCTCCCCTATATTCATTGTAAAGTCATTTATGGCCAAAATATTACCAATAAAAAGAGGTATTATTCATGAACTTTACTTTGTTCGTTATTTTATGTTCATCAGTATCTTGTTCGTCATTTATTATCTTTTGTTTCAAAAATCGTGACCTATATGATTGCATCCAAAAACTAAGAGTCAAGAGTTCGGAAAAAGGTAGCTTAGCTTGATAAGCCATGCCAAAATCCAACACATTAAGGGTGAAATTCAATAGATCGATGAAGTTACACTTGGAAAATTTCAAGAAAAACACGTTGAAGAAAAATTGGTCATAAGCCAGCAACTAAAACTTGAGACGAATAGCTAGTCTAAATTCAAAGTTGCTGCACAAGATTTTCTCATATATATTCGAAAAGTTCCTCAAAAAACGAGCTATGCATAACTTAGAACAAATTCGAGCAGTGGCATTATCGCCAATCTGGGTAGAGTGATCATCGAGGGTAGGAGTCTTGGTAGCCTCTTCAAGGTGGAGAGCTATGACGTCTATCGAAGTCTCAACCGGAGGAAGGTCGGTGGCAATAGGCGGGAGTGTAGCTAGGGGAGTCGGATCATCGACCTCCTCCTTAACGCCTGCATCCTCCTCTCCATCATCGACTTCTTCTTCACCCTCACTGTTGGGCTTAAAGTCGTCTGAGTAAACATAGGTCATCCTTTGAGCCTCGGTCCTTATCCTCTTGGCCTCTTTCTGATAATCCCGCGAAAGAAAGGAGAATTCGATCAAGGGATGAGCTTCCCACAACTTTTACGCAAGGAAGACCAACTTCTCCGAAGCTCGGTTCGTG